CAGCAACGTGGGTGATCAGCAGCAGAGGTAGCTGCCAGCTGACAGACAGGATTCATAAGATGCCGTCTTATTCTCTGTCGTCACTCCAAGCCTTGTGGGTAGCAGGGAATGTGTCTTGGAACTCCCTTTGCTTACAGCATGTTAGCAGGGCTAATTTAATTAAATGTGATCAAAAGTAGGTTTGTTGGGATTGAATAGGAGAGGTGCTGGGTTGACTCAGTATCATCCATGATGGTAGATGATCATGTGTCTAAGGTAGTACAGGTCTCCACCTCATTTCATTTAGGCTGGGACAGTATCGTATCCTGGTGGAACAGGTATATTACCACGCAAGGATGATCTTATTGCAGCTCTGGTCAGAATGCCTAAGAAAAATAAAAGCAGATTATTCTGTTTGCAGAGAAGAGCTGCTGGACTGTTTGGGTAGATGGAGAAGGTTGAAAAGACAAAAATCCAGGAAGGGTCATTGCTTTAAAGTTGGTTAAGAGAATAAATTCCAGGAGGATTGAGAGTTGCAGAAGTTTTGAGTGAAGGTGGATCAAAGACAGGAAATGACTGGCAATAAATAAATTAAGGCTGAAAATGAGAATGTTTCTGACCATACAGGGGTCTGCTGAGAGCATAAAGGTGATGTGGGAACTGTCTCTGTCAGTGTGGCACTTGTGCAGTGGAAGAGTGATGGCCTTGCATTACAGCCTCTTGCGATCCCTTCTGTAACCAACTGAGCATGAGCATCCAAAGGAAAAAGCAAACATCAACTTTAGCTATTGTGCTAAGCCAGAGCTTACAACAGTATTTGTATTTATTAGAGATGATGAGTCACAGTGAGTTTATCTGAACTGGGCATGGCTTTGGATTATGCATAGCATCTCTCCTTTTCTGCCTGACAATCTTAATTTCAGTCCTTCAGCCAGCCACAGCCTCTCCTTAATGCATCTCCAACAACAGCTGGTTGCCTGATTCCTTTTAACATTTGTTGCTAAGTCTTGTTTGATGAGAAGAGAGTTGGGACGTGGGCAGCCTTGTCTGTGAGTGATGTCTCCTGGCGTGCAGAGCTGTCAGTGACTTAGTGTGATGTCAGCTAGAGAAGCAGTTTCCTATTTGTCTTGAGGCTCAGGAAGACACTGGGGACGACCCTGCTTCCTTGCCTTCACAAGAGCTGTCTCCAACACTGATGTGGTCCTTCCTGGGTTATTCACCAAGAGCAACAGGGTTTCTGCAGCAAAACTGCTGTTAGCTAGAGAGACTTCCAACATCATTCTCAGCTGATAGCTAACTCAGAAACAGAAAGAATATTAGATCTGTTTATGTTCTGAGACCTGCACCCATCACTGGATAGAACCAGTGGTAGCCCCTACAAAAAAAAAAAACAAAAACAAAAACAAAAACAAAAACCACAACAACAAAAAAACAACCAACCAAAAAAAAAAAATCAAAACAACACACACAAAAAAAAACAAAACAAAACAAAACAAAAAGCAAGCAAACAAACAAAGAGAACAAAATTAGAAACAGAGATTGCCTGAGTGGCGGGGCTGTGCTCCAACATCTGGACAGTGCTTAATGCCTCTGCACCTCTGCAGATGGGCAGGACTCCAGGCTTCAGGAGGCTCTGAGGTTTGGGGTGGAGGAAGAAGAAAATCAGTGTCATTTTGATGCCTACTTATGGCCTTATGTGATGTTTTCATTAACACTAGTGGGCAGTATGAGAGAAACAGCACAGATCTGTCTCCATTTTGGGTTCTGGCTGGGCACCAAGGCAGAGGATCATGCCTGCTTAATCTTTAGCTGAGGAAAAGTGCTAGTGGAAGAAAAGTTCTGGGGCCTGGCAATCAGAGGTGCTAGAGGGACAAGTACTGCCCCAATTGGTGAGTGTTTTCATGGCATTCAGCGACATGAGTGTGAGTTGCAAAGGAGCTGAAGGAGTCTAGGGAATAATTCTTTAGTCACTGCAGAACCTGTGATTATGCCTAGAGCTGATGGGGGTAACAAAGTGTGCAGGAAAGGGAACTTGTTCAAATACTTCACCTTTCTGAGCAGATGGCAGGTGCATTTTGGTTTTATTACATTGAATTCTTTATCTGGATTTGCAATGTTGTAGTTTGGTTTTGTTTTTATTTTAAATAATCAGCTATTCAAATCTGTACATTTTGAGTGCTATTTAGAAGGTTATTGCTTTGCTAGGCTACATTCTGTATTATGTTTATCATTTGGTACCTTTTCTTGTATGAAACATTTCAAAAAAATACTGCTTGGTAGCATTAGAGTTCACACAGATGGATGCTCTGGTATGGGATACAGCAATGAAATCACTTATCTACAACATCCAGAGTCCTGAAAAGTGCTCATGATACTGAGCTAAAAGTCATGTTCAGGGTTAAGGAAATAATGTGCCTTGGAAAAAATTACTAATCTAAGGTTTCAGGTGGGATGCAGACAATTATCATTATGCCTCTGCTTACAGACAAGGAATTTCTACAGCTGTTTATTGGGATAGCCCATTACAGTGAGAAAATTGTTCCTGCTTTGCTGATAATGCTGCTACTTTGAGTGTGGCTGCTGAAAAGATACAGCAGACAGAAAATACCGATCACAACAGGAAGTTTGAAAATCTTAGAAATGGTGCAAAGTCACCCATCCTTCATTCCTATGACAGTAAACGCCCAGTAAAGCCTTTAGTGGCTGCCTCTAGGCGAGATCTCCGAGTAAGGGTGTCAACAATTACATGGATGTTCTGTGCAACTGTCAGCAGCAGTTTCAGTGTTTAAGCATGCTAGCTTCATATCTATACTGTGCAGCTAATTTTACATTATAGCATCTGTTTTTATTAATTCCTTCAGTTTTAAAATAATTTTTGTTCAACAGACATGCTCAGTGCTATCATAACCTGATCCAACTACGCCCTCCTATAAGAAAAGTCTCCCAGCTGTCATGATTTGCTGTTTCTAATCACTTCAAGCCATGAGTTCTGAGGCCTTTTTGAATAAAGCTGTATAAAATGCATTCTTACCTCCTACTGTCTGGTATGTGCACTAGACTATTTTTTTAAGCTGCATTCTTGGCGATATTGGCAAGCATGCTGTGCCTCTAACAGGCACTCACAATTTGCGAGCATAAGCTTGCAAATTTCGCAGTTAGCTTCAGCAGATTTACACGAGCATGATGAGAGGGAGCACAGAGCTCCAGGTCAGAATTAGGTTTCCAATGGACCTGACTGCGGGGAAATCTTCAAAGCAAGTTCTCTTGGCACTTCTAGGTTCCATTTTCTCTAGGTATGTGGGAAGACATTATTTGTCTACAGTTAGAGATTGTCAGAGGTGCATTGCTGCTTTTCACTTGGACTAACTTCTGAAAATAACTCTACGATTTGGGGTCATTTGTAAGGTCGAGTAACACTTTGTATAGTTCTGGTGCCTGTGACCACTTTTCACGTGAAACCAGAGTGGATAGAAGATGACCCTGTTCAAAACTTGAATGCTTTTCATATTTACATGCGTGACGTGGTGTGGCAGGATGGATTTGGAGCATTGACCCAATATCACCTGAGGGCTGGAGAAAGGCCTCTGGAACTCCAGTTCTGGCATGCAGATGCAAAGCAGGTTCAGTCACCTTCTTGGAGCGTGAAGATGGTTGATGTGGTTACCTGTACAGAGGTATTGTCACCCTGGATATCTATAATGTATTTCTAAACATCTCCTAGAGTATTAGTGTATAATGAGAAGAAAAATTAGTATTGTGTGAGCAGTCAGACAATCAGTGCTTTTGAGTATGGAGCATCAATGTGGGTAGAAATGGCTTTTATGTTGTAGTGGGAGAAGGTATGTCCCCTAGAGTGCTGAAGGTATTTCTTAGTTGTAAGTGTTGAATTTACAGCTAGATTATAAATCTGGAAATAGTTTTGCTGATACGCTTTCTAGAGCTTCATGTCGTAAGACTGTATTTTATTAAACAATATCAAAACTGGCTGAGCCAAAGTTGTGAAGTGAGATTTCCACCATGGGATATATGTAGGAGAATTTGAAGAAGGAAAATGCAAAAGATGGCATCATGCTAGCTACTAATAAATGCAGGTATTTTTATATTGGTTCTGAAAGCTGAAATGCCATACTGGTTGTGAATCATTTCCATCAGCCACAAGTGGCTTTTTTTACAGGATTCTACTGCTGACCATATATTTTAAGCCACAAAAATCTTTTGGTCATACCAAATGTATCAGTAACAGTTAAGGACTGGTAAAAGCTTTGCAAAGTGTGTGATTTTTAACCATATTATGCCTATTCTGGAGATACAGGCTATTCATAATTTATTGGTCTTGTGAGAAGTGGCATCAAAAATCTCCACAGAGTTCTTAAATACCCTGTGGAGTACAGAACATATTCTCTTTGTAGGGTTGCCAAGGTGCAGGACAACATTGCTTGAACTGACTGCCACATACTGAAATGTTAGACTTCCTAAATACATTACAAGTGATGAGGATGTTGTAAATTGTTATAAACATTGCAAAAAACTGAAGCACAAAGTATACTAGGACAAAATGTCACAGGGGTCAAAGCTTTGGGTTCCACAACGTTACATTGTTTATATATTAGTAGTCTGTCCTTCCAGTTTCTTAGGGATTATTAAACCAGATGCAGAGCTATAGAAGAAGTTGCTATTTGCCCCATACAGGTGCTTTTGCTATACATTTGCTCAGTCACCTGCAAGTATCTCAAGGACAGGCTAACCATAAACTGCATCTTGAAGTCCCTCCTTCACCACTACCTGGCACAGGACAGCCCATGCAGAAGTGGCACGGCCCATGAGAGCCGATCTGCAGGACACCAGGGCTGAGCTCTGCCTCTAAGAAATCCCACACAAGGACATGGACCAGGAGATGGGACCAGGGATGGGAAAAGGCAGATGCTTCATAGTGGAACGCGACTGCAGGAGGATGCCTGAAGACCTTTATGGTGTGGGGTAAAATGGGCTACTGGGATACTAACATGCTTCTTCTGTTCTAGTCACAGGTACCAAACCAAAGATGTCCTGGACAAGAAAGATTCTACTTATCCTGGGATTCCTCTCTACTTTGGCTGTAATTGCTTTAATTGCTGTAGCAGTGACCCAAAACAAGCCACTTCCGAAGAATATTAAGGTATTACAAGCTGGGAATCTTACAGGAAAACAAGCCAAGCTGGAGGGTTAGGTGTACATAGTGTTCCAGGACATGTTGCTGCCCTTGATGGATCTGGCTAACCTCTCTTCCTAGCTCCATGCATCTCATCTCCATGATAAAAAAAAAGATAGAGGTTCACAGGGGATCATCTCCTAAGTAATCAGTCCCAATTTTGCTGCTTCTCTGCTCTTGTATCCTTTGATGGAAACTTTGCAGTGAAGCACTACAGAGAAGAGGAATGATACGGCATGTTCCCACAGCTGCCAGATAGGCTATTCATTTCTGGTTTCTCCACATGTGGGGACCAGTGCACACTGTGTCTGGTTTGGTGCCTCAGATGCAATGACAGCTCTGTTTTGCCCACAGTATGGGATTGTGCTGGATGCGGGGTCGTCCCACACTAACCTGTATGTGTACGAGTGGCCAGCAGAGAAGGAGAATGACACTGGGGTGGTGCAGCAGGTGGAGGTGTGTAAAGTCGAAGGTAAGAGGAGAAAATGGAGCTGTGGAAGGGGCACGGGCTGAAGAAGAGATAATGCAACCCAAGGGTGGGGGAGGAGAAAGCTGAAGGAAGAGGCCAGTACTAAAAAGTGTTACATCTCTGAACAAATGTATGTCCCACTGCTTCCCACGGGGAGCTGTATACGCCTGACCTTCCTGGGAGGAAAGCTGGATCCACTTTTTCCCTTGTTTTTAGAATGATTGGAAGTCATTTTTGGAAAGAACTACACCAAAGAATGTACTTTAATATGTCTGCATGCACCCTTGCTGATGCACCAATGAGCATCAGGCAGTGAGAGGGGAGGGCATGGTTTGCTCTTTTTCAAGGCTTTTGTGCAAGCTAGGCACTGAGTTCACAGGCCAAGGTTGCTCACCTTATGCATGTCATAGTTTGTTTTTTATTCTGTTTAATTGCTGTGTAGATATTGTATGGTTTAGGAAGTTGTAAATGAAGTCCAAGGATGCATATAACAAGGAACAGAGTAGACCATCATGGATTGCTGCACTCTTGGGGGAAGAGACGTGTTGTCAGAGCCTCCCTGGGGTCTTTTCAGGCCTATCTGCAGTGCAGGGGCGAGCCACACTGTTACCAAGCTGCTGCAATAGCCATTCGGTGCTGCATCATGCCGCACCATGAGCAGCACGCTGAGCATACGGCAACCTGGAGCAAACACAGAACAGGTTTCACTGCTGCCTATGCAGGCACTGACCCTGGGGCAGTCCATGTACCAGGGGACACATGGCAAGGAGGGACAATTAACTTTTCTTTGGGTTAGCATGAAGGGAAGTAGCTGCAAAACACTCAGTACTGTAGTGTGAGTGTACAATACACAAACAAATGACAGCATCTTCCCCCAGAGAACCCAGCCTAGTGAAGGGTCAGGATTTTCAGGCACAGATCCAGGGTACACCCAGGCAGAAGCAGAGATGAATCTACACGTCCAGGACATACAAAGCAAATGATCTGTCTCACTGCAGCCCTCATCACCAGTTCATAGCATGGTTCGTGCAGAGCAGGTGGCAGATGCTGGCTGCTGTGGCCATCCCGTTGTGCATTGGGCTGAGTTGGTGCTGTAGGATTTGTAAAACACCTTAGAAATGGGGTGGTTGAACCTGATGTTGCTGCCTGTGATACTGATACAGTCTAACATGACTGCTCATGACAGCACTCCGGGGTTACCTTTGGAGTTTGAGCAATGAAGCGTCCTTATTTCTTGCAGGCCCTGGGATCTCAGGTTACTCCCATGCCACAGAGAAGGCAGGTCCCTCTCTGGTACAGTGCCTACGACAAGCAGAAGAGGTGATTCCTTCAAAGCAGCACCAAGAGACACCCGTCTACCTCGGAGCAACTGCCGGCATGCGGCTTCTCAGGTACAGCAGGGCTTGTCCCCTTCTCCTGCAGCACTGTGCCTGGGACTGACATGGACACTCAGAGGGGGCCTCTTGGGCAAAGTCTTTGGAAATGCTGCCAGCTCACACTTTTCCTAGATACCTTCTTCTGCTGCTGGCTTCTTTGAGCCCCAAGTCTCCCTGGGCTCTTCCCCTGCTTGCCCAGCAGGTCCATTTTCACTCACTCCAACCTTCCAGCATTACCAGCACCCACATGCAGCACAGAGACACCAGGAGGGTAGCAGTGCCCAAGCTGATGCTCAGGGGACGCTCAGACATCCCCCACAGTCTGGTATTAGGCCTGACCAAGGATTTTTGAGCCCAATAATGTTGCAACTCCCCACGTACCTTGACTCAGCCTGAGATCATCAGAGCTAAGGTAACTTTATAATAATATCCTACTTTAATTCCAATTTGTGATTTTCATGGGGTACCCCAGACCTCTTGCCTGGATGGGACAGGGAGCTGATCTTATGTATGTATTGCCTGGGAAATCTGGGTATACCAGCGAGCATGATGGATTTCTTCTGTAATGGTGATGGTGAAGAGTGAGAGGAATCTCCATGGTGCAGTGCCTACCAGGGCACATGCTCCAGGAGAGCAAGAGAGCTCTGGTCTCTGCTCCAGGTACCACTCCCAGCTGCGGGGTCTATACGTGTCAGAGCTGATGGCAGCTGTGCTGCCAAGGTGTGATAGAGGGGGATGTGGCCAGTTAGAGCTGGATGTACCCATACAAATGACTCTTCTGCTATAATTAATGCTTGGTGGGGACTTGCAGCCTGCTTACTCAGAATAAGGCCCATAGTCTGCAGAGAGCTGTCAGCCAGAATCACTCCATCCTTTCTTCCATTCATCCAGCTTGGAGAATAAAAGTGCAGCTGACAAAGTCTTGTCCTCAGTAGAGAAGACACTCCGCTCAGCCCCCTTCAACTTCCAGGGTGCCAGAATCATCAGTGGTCAGGAAGAAGGAGCCTATGGATGGATCACCATTAACTACCTGCTGGGCAATTTCAAGCAGGTACTGTATGAACAGCAAGTCCACATTTGAATCATCAACTTGCAGCACTTTGTAAATCATGCCTTGCAGGACAGTGTCACAGGCCCTATCTCCCCTTGTAAGCCATTTACCAGAGATTAGGAAGCTGCAAATCTTACCTCAGAAATTACTGTGAGTACATCCTGATACCAATAAGTATCAGGGTGTACCACTGTAGTCAGGCTTAAAGCATTGAAATAAAACACCAGCATTTTCAATAACATCGCTTGGGTACAGCATCCTCCTCACTTCCTGATCTAAAACATTTCTGTGCCTGCAAAGTTTGACAATGATTCTTTACTATTAATCTTATAAATCATCTTGGAGCTGAAATAGTAGGTTGTTTTTTGTCATAACAATTGTATTAGATTTCATATTCTTTGTCCTCCTGCAAGCACTCAGACATGATCCATCTTCTGCTTTTCTGAGCCTGAACCCTTCTTGTGTCTTGTTCCAGCTCTCATGTCACCCTCCAAGTCTTCCCACCTTTCCTGTGTTCTGTGCTTCTGCTTCTCTCCTCATAGGTCTTTATATATATATATATATATATTTTTTTTTTTTTTTCACAAAGAAATCCTCTTCGTGCCTGATGTGTCTGTTCCACTTCAATTTTTTTTTTTTTTAAAGTCTGGCTGGACAAAACTTCTACATTCCCTGAAATCCATAAGTGAGACATCAGGAGCGCTAGACCTTGGAGGAGCCTCAACACAGATTACTTTTGTACCAAATGAACTCTCTTCTGAGTCCCCAGAGAACATGCTCTACTTCCATCTTTACGGCAAGGATTACCTAGTATACACACACAGCTTTCTCTGCTATGGGAAGGACCAGGCTCTGCAACAGAAACTGGCCAGGGACCTACAGGCAAGTACATCTGTAATTGCATGTGGAGACTGTGGACCCTCCCAGATGTGCCAATACTGATGCTGTAAAAGTTGCTGTGTCCCAGCTAAATGTCTCATCTCTTAGTCTGGATTTGGGAAATATCATTATCCTCCATAAAGACTGGGAAGACTCCCAAAGAAATGACAGTCAACGTTTTCAAAAGTACTAGCAATTTGATGTGCCTTGACTCTTGGGCAGGGATAGCAGGAGTAGTGTGCTTAACTGCAGTACCTGGAGGAGGTGTTGTTTTACCATGTCTGAGAATCCCAAATCCACAGCAACTTTCACAAAATGTGGCTGACAGTAATTTGCTCAGGGTCCTACAGGGAGACTGTGGCACTACCCATATCTCCAAAATCACAGCCAATGCCTTAAACCATCCTCATCACTTTGACATAATCTTGGTGTCATGTACTGTGACAAGTGCCTTGTGGCCACCCTTCCTTGTGGCGCTTTCCCAGGATGTTACTCTAGAGTGAAGTGTAACAGTTTGGGTTGATTTTACTTTCAGACCATGGAGAACAGCAGCCTCCTTGATCCGTGCTTTCACCAGGGATATCAGAGGACTATAAATATAAGTGACCTCTTCAAAAACCCTTGTACATCAGCCAAGAACAAGCAATTCCCTTTCAGCCAGCTGTACATACAGGGAGAGGGGGATTATCAAAAGTGCCGAAGAAGCATCCAGAAACTCTTTAACAAAACCGATTGTCCTTACTCTAGTTGCTCCTTCAATGGGATATACCTACCTCCATTACAAGGGGACTTTGGGGTAAGTCTTCTCATTCTTCAACTCTCTATGACACAGAATATCAGACGAGCAGAAACTCAAAGTAATGATAGAGTGTATTCTCCATGGCTGGAGCAGGAAATCATTTACAAGATGGCTTTTTGAACATGTAACTACAAAAGTAGTGCTGTACTTGCTGTGACAACAGCACATGTAAGAGCTAGCCCAGTAAATACTGGCCTACCAGTACTGCACTCTTCCCATTCAAACCCATTTCTTATAGGCATCTCCTTAGAGTGCTCCATTTACTGATTCATTTTTCAAGCAGTCATTCCTGATGGCCAGCATCAGAAGCAGGATAGCCTGCTACAGGCTGTGCAAGATACACTGCTCCTGCAAACCTTGTCTCCTGAGGTCAATGGTGGTACCAGGTCTGAAATTCATCCAGAAGTGTGTGAGCACTACAGAAACCAGTCAGCTCACCTGTCTGCTCCCCAGATGTGGTGAGGAGACTGCACACTCTGGACACACATCATGTGTAACACCACACTGAACTTCAGTCCTACAGCTGCAAGACTTCAGTGGCTACAAGGCTTTCTGGGGAACCTGTTAATGCTTCCTTACCCTGTTCATAAACTGCCCCCTACCTATCAGCTATTGGCCATTGTGAAAAATTGGTTTTCTGGATTTTGGATTATATGCTGAGGCTGTGTACAGTCCTTTCATACTATCGCCTCTGCTGTTTGTGGAGATATTTGCTGCATGCTCATCTCATTCAATTGCCAAAATAAGATCACAGTTGTGATGCCAAGCAGCCTTCACCATGTGCCACTCTGGCACCAGTGCATGGAGGAGAGGGATTTACTGAAGTTCTTCAGGGTACTGTGGTCAGTGAAGTTCCTACCTCCACCCTCCTTTTGGTGTCCTTCACTCTCATCAGGTCCGAGGGATGTCTCAAAATGACAACGTTCTTGAAAATATACCTCCTTTTGTTTGTGTGATGTTGCTTCCTAGATTTCTTTATCTGTAAATAGAACCATTTTCTTTTGTGGGATTTCTGTTGTCCTGCTCATGCTAAGGCCCAGACAGGTTAAAATATTCCTTCTCCTTCAGGCTTTTTCTGCTTTCTACTTTGTGATGAACTTTTTGAACCTGACCAGTGAACAAAGCCCTGTTTCCCTGGACAAAGTGGCCAGCACCATTGAGAGCTTCTGTGCCCGGCCATGGCATGAGGTGAGCAGTGCTTGTGGCAGTGGGCTGGGGCTGCTAGCTGGCAAGAGCTGCTGATATTTTTCTGTAGGATAAACAGTTGGAAGTAACTTCCAAGGCAAGAGGGGGAAGACCCCCCCAGCACCTGCAGAGGATGCTCAGGCACAAGCTGGAGCAGCGGGAAGCTGTGTTTAACAGCCTGGTGGCTTCCTCCTTCCCTAGGTGAAGACAGCGTATCACCACATAAAAGAAAAGTACCTGAGCGAATATTGCTTCTCTGGAGCCTACATCCTCTCTCTCCTGGAAAATGGCTATGAATTCACTGAAATGAACTGGCAAAGGATCCACTTCCTTGGAAAGGTGCGTTTCATGGCAGGGAGGGCTCTATCCCAGCAGCTAACTGCAACCTCTGCTGCATAGCTCAGCCCTTTTTCCCCAGGGGTGCCACTGCCCTGGCAATGCCGCAAGCAGCCCCTGCACCTTCCAGCACTGATTCTGCTCCTCTCTCATTTCAGATTGGCAGCAGCGATGCTGGTTGGACCCTGGGCTACATGCTGAACCTGACCAACATGATCCCCGCAGAGGAGCCCGCTGTGCCTCCTCTTTCCCATGGCAGCTACGTGGGGCTGATGGTGCTGTGCTCCCTCGTGCTGGTGTCCGTGCTCCTGTTTGCCTGGCTTCTCTTCCACAAGCCCAAGTGCCTGCAGAAGGGGATTGTTTAGGAAGAGCCTTGGGGGGAGAGGGGCCATGTTACACCAGCCACTCAGGGCTATGAGACCCCAACAGAGCAGACTGTACTACAGAGCCCCTCTCACCTCTCACTGAAGCTACTGACTGTGTACAACAAGGGCATTTATTTCTCCTGACTCACACTTGCACTGACAGACGTTGGGACATCAGGCTCACCATCTCTCTCTGCCAAGGACAGACAAGCGGGTGTCCCCTCCTTAAATGGGTCGTACTTTTAATCAATGAAACTTTGCTGCTTGTTGGTTTTTGCCTTGTGCACAGCATTATAAAGAGAAAAGCGGCAGCAATCTTTGGGAGCCAGTGCTCCTGCAAGGGTAATCTCAGGGTCACACATCCCACTGAGCTCTTGGGAGTGATCACACACAGGGTGATCCTGCTCCTCCTCCGATGAAGCCATTCCCGAGAGCCCTTCCCACACCAGCACACCTCTGCTTGCCTCCCCGCACCCCGAGTCCTCGCAGCCCTACAGCTGACTACAGCCACCTGCACCCGGCTGGCCCCTGAATGTTGGCCAGGCTCCCAAATGCAACTCTGGGAAAAAGAAGGGATGAGGATGAAGAAACTGAGTGTGCTGGTGGTCATCGGCCCTTAAGCTGGGCTCTGGTGGCTGTCTGCTCCTTTCGCAGGTGGCAAGAAGCCTTTCCCATGTCTTCCTGATGTTGTTGCTGGACCAAAGCTGGCTCGCAGTTACACTGAGCCATTCCCGTGTCCGTAGGGTACATCAAGACATGAGTTCCCAGCCAGGCATTGCTAATTTTTGTAGGAACAGCTCATACTGGCCAAGGATCCTTGACCAGTAGCAAGTGCTTATGCCTCCAGGGACTCTTGTGTGATCAGCATGTCTACAGGTATACACCCACTAAAGCAATCCAGTGTCACTATGCTGATCATACAGCAGCGTCCAATCTAAGGAAAATGCTTATTAGGTCATGTTCCTTTATAAATAGACAACCAGCAGTCAACCAGCATGAGCGTGCACAGATTGAACTACTCTTTCAACCAGCAAAATCAGTGAAAACTTGCCTTTCTTTCCCTCATGGCTTAGGTTTATCCCATCACCAGAAGACCCAGGGCTTGTGAGTGCACATACTGCAGCCCATATTCTAGTGCACAACTAGGGCAATGCCACTGATCAGCTTTGTGAATCACTTTCTTCCATTTTCCATTATTTCGTCCAAAGCAAAAAAGAGGTAAGTCAGAAATACATTTTTATGAAAACACTTAGAAATGACTGGTGCCTGTCTACCTCCCACAAAATCTTGGAAATCTCTTCTAATGATCTGTAAGTCCTGGAGGCCAAAAGAAAAGCAGATATTGTGGAGAGAAAGGCATGGCAAATGCACACCTTCACCTCTTTCCCTGAGCAAAGCTGTAGAAGGCATGAAGGGGATCAGGATGTGCAACCCCAATAAAGCCTTCTCCTTTAGACAAGCACAGACACAGAACTCGGGGTTTTCATGCTTGCCCAGCCTGTCCTTCTTCACAGTGCAGGCTGGAAAACGTTCCCCAGTTATTTCTACTTCATGCCTGGAAATAGGAACAGTAACATACTGAAGGACCTACAGGTAAGGGAAAAATCTACCCTGTCTTGTGGTAAGATCTTTGGGCAGTTCGTTGTTCTTCCAAAAATCTGTCTTATTTTTTCTCTGAATTAGCTGGCTTCAGCTTCTGTTGGATCTTGTTCTGCCCATTCCAGAAAGACTAAGTAACACTCTGCTATCAAAATTCCTTTTTCCTTGTTGGTGCTTGCAAGTTGTCATTGTATCATATTAAATAGATTGATCTTCAATCTGTAAAGTGCTCTGTGCTGACCTCACTTGTAGCTCTTGAAGTGCTTCACTCCACTTTGAAAATTTTTACATCTTTCTGAAATTTGGACACCAAAGTTTTCAGCAGTGAGTGGTAGTAGACTTGCTAACAGTGTATATAAAAGTAATACCCTCTATTTTTGATCTATACTCTATGTTCCACATTTGTATATCTCAGGGCCAGTTCTGCTCACCTAAGAGAAAGTTTTAGGTCTGCTTTGTCCAGTTGGACTATTGCAACTTAACCTTTTTTTCCAGTCATTGCAGTCCAGAACAGCCACTGTCTCACACCATATATCACTGTTTCTTAAGTTGAACCACTGCGCTTTCCACTGAAACACATACTGTTCAAAGAATATTCCCCCAAGCAGGTGATCCAGATCAACCCACAGATGACACCGCCCCACATTGTTTGTCCATTGATGAGTTTTTGTTGTATCTGCAAATACCCTGAGATGTTGGGATTCATCTAGAGATGGAGCCTTCCTTCTGTTGTTTTCAGCAAAGATAGGTAGATGAGAGATTAACAGTTGGTTTTGGTCATGGCTGGAAGGCATGCAGGAGGAGTGTGTGACCAGAGCTGCTTCAGCTCCCCAGTCAGCCCCACACTTGCAACACATCCTATCCTGTGCCACCTTGCTTGCATATGGAGTCTTCATAGCAAAGCAGGTCCCCTGGAGAGGCTCCCCGCATGAGCTGATGCATCCTTCCTCCCCATGAACCATGCAGAAACCTGTAGAATGGTAATTCCTCTCCTGAGACCCCGTGGGGATCTGGCAGCTGCTCAGTTGTGTCCATGATGCTGAAACCAGCAGATCCATTGGGACATTTCAGAAATTGATGTAGAAACTCCATGTGGAAACGGGTGTGGAGAGAGAAAGCCTGTGCCAGTCTGCTCTTCTGGTCCCTGCTAAGGGTTTATGCCAAATGAAAAGCTCAAAGATGAACCTGAGAGAAGAGTTTTAGCAGTGTTTTTTATCTTTATTGCAAGTCTCACACTATTAATATTGTTAGCTCTTCATTCTGGAGTCGGGTGATCAGCTGGTATCTTTGCTTACTCCCTCCCGGCTTCCTTCTCTTGATTTTTGGCTTGGGTTTTGGTTTTTAAAACTGTAACTGTGACTTGAGTGCAACCTAAAGGCCCCAAATGAAGTTAAATACAAAACATGTTACATTATTTTAAAACCTTATGACTTTAAGACCACGTTTATGAGTCAATATCTCCAGAACTCGAATTTCTAAAGTGACAGCAGCCAAGCCATTTAAAAATCGCTTGAGCAGGCTGAGGCTCCAGGATTTGGTTGACTGAGGGCAGTCTATCAGGGTAAGACCCTTGCATGTCACTGGCTGTACTTGAACCTCCCTAGAAAAGCATATGATTTTTTCCTTCCATTTCGCCTGCTGTTGCAGGACTTCATCCACGAAGGCTACTCAAAATCCTTGGTCAGAGAGTTCAAGTTTAATGAACATTCATTTCTTTGCTTCTGTGCTGCTTCTGACTCAGCTGTATTCAGCTCAAATGTGTGTTGCAGAGCTACCCAATGTGTATGATAGTGGGGGGAATTTCCAAATATGCCAGTAATAATATGGTATCGCTTTTCTTGTTAATGCAGTTGATCTGCCTCACTGATAACTACCTGTGCCTTATTTCTAGTTTGATAGATTCTGGTTTTAATTTCCTGCCACTGGTTCCTGTACAGTTTTGCTCTTCTGGGTTAAAGCATCTTTTAACACCACATGCTCTTGTCTTGCAAATATTTATTCACTGAACATCTCTGCTGGCCTGCCAAGACTCCAGAGCTTGGTCTCTCCTGTTTTGCCACAGAAAGCCCTAAGATGTGCTGCAGCAAGGTGGGATGAGTGTCTCTGGTTTGGGTTCAAAGGCTGAGTGGTCTGTTTTTGGGAAGGTTCCTTGCAGGGGGATTGGATAGCTTTGCAGGGTGTGGGAGCAGTCTGGTCTCTGGGACTGATGACTTCCACAAGCTCTCTCATGTTCACCCAAGTGTCAGGTCTGAGGCAAGACTATCACTGAGGCTGAGATTTTGGGGGGTCAGAAGAGAAAGTCAGGGTGCCTGGAAGCACACTTAGCTCTTGCAGCAAACAACCAGTCCCCACCACAGGCTCTAAGTACCCTTCGCTCTCCCCCCCGACACAGCCAGATCCCTTCTGTGCACAGGGTCCAGCTGATTTCTCTGGCCCTATAGCAAAGCACAGCGGAGCCTTCACTTGGAAGAAATATCTCAGAAGTGGGGCCATCACCTCTGTGGTAAGAGGCTGATTTGCAATGTCGGTGCTGTTCAGGGCTCCCCAGCTTCTCCAAGAGCAGCTCTCAGCTGGACGCGTGCCCCCTCCTTGTCTGTCCCAATTCTTCCCATGCTCTGTGCCAGGGGGGACGTGCAGGCTCAGCGGGGCTGCTGGCTGCGTCACAGAGCTCAACAGCCTGTTCAGGAGGGGCTGGGGGGGACGCACCGAGGACGAGAGTCCCTGCCACCCAGGCCAATGGGCTTTCTTTTTGCAACTCAGCCCTGATGAAATGGATCTTTTGTTTTGATGCACGCACAAATCTCTGTATCCTTATCACAATAAAGACTTCTGAACTGATATCAGAAAAGTTTTCACGCTGTTTTCCAGAAGATGGGAACTTGCCAGTAGTGGAATGGAGCTTCTGGCACTAAACATGGAAAAGTCCTGAGATGGGATTTCCTCTCTTGCCAGTTCCCTGCTGTTCTTCTGGGTTGGATCTGATGTTCCCAATGGATGAGCAGCATCCCCTCCTGGCAAGGGAAGGCACCGTAGTCCTTCCCAGGCTGTGGGCACCTCACAAGGGTGGCCTCACTCCTGAGAAGGCTGCTAGTGCCCAAATCCCATCTTTCCTTCACCCTGACCTCCCCAAAGCTGCCTGTTCTTTCCTGCCATGTGTCCGCAGTCCTCTGTCCTTTATTTTCCTCTCCCTTCCCCAGGCAGCACCACTGGCATCATGCTGGCACTGCAAAACCCCCACCCCCACCTCCCGAAAAGCAGGTGAAGGACGGTGGAGCCTGTGCCCCCTCATTCGCGGGGCTGTGCGGCTGCGTGCCTCTGCATGCAGCCACAGCTGTAGCTCCGCCAAGGCAAACATGCTTGTCACGGTTCATCATTTTTCTTTCAGCACGCACTCTCCCCAGTTTGCTCACTCTTATGGCTCTTAGCTCAAACTTTCCTCAAATTTTCCAATCTTCCCCTCATAACAATACAGCCAGCATTAAAATGAACACACCAGGTGGAGTCTTTCCACAGCAGACTCCAGAGGGATCGGCTCCTTGCTGCCTGTGACCCTCAGTCGCACAGCGATGGGGGGGACGGGGCTCACATTCACATTCCTCTCACTCTCACTGCTGTGGCACGGCACGTTCCTGCTCGCCCTCTTTCTCCTACTGCCTCAAGGTCTCTCCATCTTTGAACATCTGGGGGGGGTGGTGGGGGGGGGTGTGGATGGATGATCTGTCCCAGATGTATTAGCCGCATTTTCCAAATTAAGTCTTTGTTTATTTCCTGCACTGTTTCTAAGAGCTAACGTCCTATATTATTCGTTTCTGCTTTCATCATTGTTTTTTAACATGTCCAAACTTATTATTTGCTTAAAGCTTCATTAGCATGTTGTTTTCCTAGAACATAGTAAGAGCCATGCTAGGCCAGATCAGACAGGCAGCGCATTGGTGCTCATCTCCAGCTGCATGATGGGTGACGATTTAGATGGACATTTAGGGAAAAGGAATGATCTTCCTCTGCTAGCGATCAAGGGTGTAGGAAATATGTGATCAAGTGATTGCTTCTGGATCTGCATAGTTAATAGCTGTGGATGCCCCGGTTCTCTATGAATTCATCCTATCCTCTTTTGAGTTTATTTAACTTTCAGCTTTGATGAGGTAATTTCATTGTGCCTTGTGTGCAAAACTATTCCCTTTTGTTTGATTTAAACCTGCTGCCTGATAACAGGCTACCGCCATCTCTATGCTATGGATAACACTGACTAATTCTCCAGACCTAGTAGCGCGTGAGATGCATTCTCCGCCCACCCCAGACTTTGCTCATGGCTCTTTTTTAGGATCTAACGTTCTGGCATTTCTTTTTTTTTCTGTTGTTTCTCACATTAGTGTTGCTGGTCTCCATAGGAAAGTGAGAGCTTTTCTCATGTGTCCCTTAGCAGCACTGCAGCTCCAACTCTGCCACTGCTGTCCCAAGCTACTGAAAACAGCCTGGGAAGGGAAAGGGGAGGGGGGAGACAGACCAAACATGGGGTTTGTGCTATTTTACTATAGCCCTTCCTAGCACTCTCTGGCTGCCAAGTAACACTGGCTAGCGCTGGAAACCTGCCCACCTCTTTCCCATTGCCTTGGTTGCTGAAAGCTAGGGAGAGAGTAGCTCATGGGGAACCCAGCAGCCCTGGGATCAGCAATCTGAAGAAGGCGAGGGCACTTCTCACTGCTGTGTGGGCCACTGGTTCTGCAAAATACCACCAGACGTGTCTTGCTGTCGAGATGAGCTGTCCTACCATACTCATGTTCACTATGCCCTGCCACAGCCTCAGCTACTTTTTCTTGGTTTCCTACAAGTGCTGGGAAAAGCTGGCACCTCCAGCACTGTTTCTTGTTACCTGATTAAAGATGGGTGCAATGTCATTCCCACTCCTGAATGTGTGTTGCTCTGAGACTGACTGACAAGCAGGGATGTGGTGGGATGGAGCTTAACTGGGAGAAGGTACTAATATGGTTACTGCTATCTTTATATAGGTATAACATTCTTTTTCTGGTCATGTCTTAAAAATATATTTCTTCAGAAATGGGGCTTTTACACTTTTTTTTTTTTTTTTGTGGGGGGGGGTGGGGGGGGAGTGACAGACAGGGAAGGGGCCATAAGTGAGAGGAGGGCACTGTCTCAGTAAGCCAAGCCAGGAACAGGCAAGACATGTGCCTTGCCCACCAGCCTGAATCTGTGTCAGGGATGTCCTAATAAAGACCTCTGTCAGAGCAGCTAAGCTGCCGGACTTTTAGTTCTATGGGGTAAGGCTGCAAGGCAAGGCTTCCTCCTGCAGCTGCACCTATCCATCCGCGGAGCACAGGGACCCTCAGGTGACCACTGCCCACCAAGCAAGGGTGTACGTGGTAGAGGGGTGGAGAGGAACCAGTTTCCCCCAAATCCAGAAACAGTCTACAGCCCTTTGTTAACAGGCAGCAGGGCGTCTTCATCTGCCTTTAGGCTGCTGAGCTCCCTTCTGCTGCCAGTCGCCCAGTGCCTCTTGGTGCTCGTTACCATGCCCGCTCCCAGTGCGCAGCAGGGAGATACCAGGCTCCGAGCACAGCTCTCCCTGCCGGTACCTGCTCAGCAGACAACTCCTACATCAAACCCCACGCTGCCCTGTCCTCGCCCTGCAACGTCCTACCTCGGCTGTTTGGGTAGGCAGCTGCGGGGGGGACGATGCGGTCCCTCTCTCTGATTATCCTGGGAGCAGCGGGACTGCCGGGTGAGCAGGGGCCGGGGCGGAGGGGCCGGCAGACCCGCGGAGCCTGCGGCCTCCCCTCCCTCTGCTTCCCCAGGAGATGGGGCAGGAGAGCAGAGATGGAGCTGGCGGCCGGGCCCCGGGGGGGAGCGGCGGGAGTTGCCCGCCCCGGGCAGGGCTGCGGGAGCCGTGCGGGCACCGGGGCAGCCCCGGCGCCATCCCCACCCGGCTCGGCACTTGCCCCAAAAAAGGGCTCGGCGACGGGCATCATCCTCCCTCCGCCCGCCGCCCCCCTCTCCTCTCCCCCCGCCCCGCCGCTTGCCTTGCGCTTGGCAGCCCCGACGCCCTCCGCAGCCAGTTTTCCAGCCCTGCGCTTCTTCTGCAGTGACAGCCAGTGGCTGCGGAGGCCTGTTTACTGTCCGGTTAATAAGTGAGCTGGAGCGGGGGGAAACTTCTCCGACGGCGGAGAGCGGTCTCGCCGGCGGCCGCGGCGGGCGGGCGGGCGGGGGGAGCATTCCTGCACCGCGGGGCCCCGGCGCGCCCCGCTCCCGCCGCCCCCCGCCCGCAGGTGCAGGGGGCTGGCACTCGGAAACTGGAAAGAGCTGGTTGGAGTTTGCACTTTAAGCTCCCGGCTGGGAGGGAGCCGGGGGCTCGGAGCTGGTCTGGGCGCCCAGCGCCGCGGGAGGATGGCTGGGTGGCTGCGGTCCCTCGTGGGAGCCCTGCTCCTGCTAGAGGTGGCTGCCGCCCTCAGCTTTCTCCACCATCGCTACGAGGAGATGGTGCAGGCCCTGTTCCGCGTGCAGAGCCAGTGCCCCTACGTCACCCGCATCTACAGCATCGGCCGCAGCGTCGAGGGCCGACACCTCTACGTGCTGGAGTTCAGCGACTACCCGGGCATCCACGAGCCCAGTAAGTATGGGGGGACAGGGACGGCGGTTCAGAGAGGCCGGGCTTCGTCTCCACACTCCCTGCCACGAGGCGCTTGTTGGAGCACAGGGCAGAGGGTATCTCCCTTTCCAGGCAGGACTCCCAGCGATGCCTGGGTGTCAGGCGGTGGCCAGCTCCTGCAGGGACCCCGTAGCCAGCCCCGGGACATGCACGTAAACCCTCATGCATGCACCATGCATGCGTGAGCTGCAGCATGGCCCAGGCACGTACTTTGGACAGAGCTCTGATTTTTTGATGCAAGCTAACGCGAGAACCTGAGCAAGTCCATCCCAGCACCCCACCTGCCCTGCCACCCTCTCCCTCCCAAAACAGCTTTGTGCAGTCAAGGAGAGGCAGCACCCACTCTCCACCCTTTGCTGCTGAACAGTGGCAGGAGGGAAGAGTTCAGCTTTTCCTTCTCCAGACCCCACAGCCGGGGGGGCAGTGAGTGAGGGACCCCAGCAGAGTGGGCTGGGGGCTCCCACAGTCCCGCCAAACCCGTGGGCTGTGCAGCCCCTGTGGCAGGCCAGCCTCAGGGATCTACCTGCTGCCACGTGGCCCCGCAGAGCCTTGGCAGCAATGGCCCCTTGAGCTGCTGCCTGTGCAGCATGGAGACGCTGTGGAGCCAGACCTTGCTGGCAGCCAGGTGCCCCTGGGGAGCTGAGGGGACCAGCTGGCTCTCTGGGCTGGGGGCGTGCACACAGGGCTCCCTTGCTTCCCCTCCTTGTGCCCCTGGGCCGCAGATGCGGACAGGGCTCCGCCTGCATTTTGCAGGATCTTTTGCCGTTTCAAATCCTGGCTGGTGTGGTTAAATGGAGGGAAACGGAGGGGCTGACAAGCCCAGGCAGCCTAGCCATGAGGAAAACTACCAGCAGCGCTGCAGGGGTGAGCGGGACCCATACCTGTGCCCCCCTCAGCAGAGCAGCCCCCCCAAACCCCACAGCATCCCATGCCTGGCAGCAGCCTGCCCAAGGACATCATGCTCTAGGGGCACACTGCTCCCCTCCTGCATCCCAGGGTATCACCTTCAGGGATGACGGGAGGCAGGATGGGAGGCTTCTCACCCTGACCACCTCCCACCAGCCCTGTTTGGTACAGGGAAACCTGCACGGTGCTAGGGACACCTCAGGCACCTCTGCAGCACATCAGGGGCTGATTCAAAGCAAGGGGTGAGCAAAGGGCACTGGCAATGCACCACTGGATTTTTG